GCGGAGAGCTGTGTCCCCGGCGGGACACTCGGGGCTGGCGATGGCCGCGGACGGACGGAGGGAGTTGAAAGGCTGCGGGACAGCGAATCGCTCAGGCTCTGACTGATGCACACTTGTGCAGGTAAATAACGCGCACATGTGAGCACGCCTGGTTCATGTCTCCCCAAAAGTCTTCCTCTTTTTTCCTCCCGTTTTGGGATATCCGTTAGGGAACAGAATCCTGAAATCCCTAGTGCTAGCACTCTCTTTGTTGCCACACCATAAAGGAAATAAGGGTAAGAAAATTACTTGTTGAGCTCCTTCAAACTACAGCATATGTATAAACAGCACTTCCGTTTAAAGAAAAGCTAAAACACAGCAAAATCTGGAAAAGCCTAGTTAGGATCAATAGCTGCCTGGATTCTACCCCTTCATTGCTGCACAACCCACAACATACACTGAAACATGAAACCCCTAACACATTCCCCCATAACTTCACTATTGAAAACACAGGCCAGATTGCTGCCCCCAGCCCTGTGGAAAACCTCCCAGAGCAGAGAGGGATGGAGCACTCTGAGGAGTTTCTTCAGTGGACTCCTTCATGTGTGGATCAGACACCATCCTTTTTGGAAAGGATGACAGGTTTGGTCTGACCAGGCTCGATCCCAGGCTATTTCCTGGGCTGAGAGCTTCTGAGGTAGAGTCAGGGTGTGTCCTCACCAGTCTGTAATTTTTACTTCAAACTCAGAATCTCAGGAGCATCCCTCTGGGAAAGCCATGGAGCTTTTGAGACCCACTAATGAATGGTTCATTTCCATGGCTAAAAAGACATCATGAGGACAATACAGTAGAGACTTTTCCACCCCCCCAAAGCCAGAAGGAAAACTCTGCACATATCTGCCCCTAGAACTGAATCTGGGATAGCAGATCTGTTATGTATACTCATGATTGACTTTAAAAAAGATTTGCAATGCCTCACAGAACATCTACAAACACAAATATTGTTGAGAAGCACCAATCTACTCTTTCTGACTTGCCAAAGAGAAACCCATCATTTTTGTTGGATTACCACGGCCATGAAATACATAAGAAAATGAACTGCACCATCAAATAGTGTCTCATCTCAAAGAGAATGCACTACCATCCAATATCTCAATGCAGATCAAAATCACATTCTACCACATGAAAAAGAAAATCAGACACCTTGAGTAACTAATTGTGCTATTCATACTGGTTTTAATCATCTATCCATTGATTTTAATTGCTTTGCTCATGGAGTCAAATCAGTGTCATCCAAAATGTTAGAGAAAATTATTTTTAAATAGTGTCCTCCTCTCCATTTTTTAATTTAACTATTAATTTGGCCTCATTATTTGTTTATGTCCTCTTCTGTCTCCCAGGCTCCCAATTATCTCTTTGATCTCATTATACATGGCCCAGAACTTCAGGCCTGAGCACAAGCAGTAGTGTCTTCATTCCTAAATTAAACTGGGCAGAGAAAAGGCCCTGACATTGGTTCATTACCTGTTAAGCTGGTATTGCTTCCGTTAGGGTGATGCTTGAAATGGTTTTGGCTGAGACGTGTGAGCAGCCTCCCAAACCACAGCTGGAAACAGCATTAGCCCTGCAGGGGCAAGTGCCAAGGGACAGTTTGAGGTGGCTGCCCTCTTTGGGAGGTGGAGGCTTAGGGGCAAGGCTGTAAGTCCTGCTGGAATCCCTGGCACATTTTATTCACCAGTATAAATGCAGTCATAGGAATGAGGTAGCCAGGTTTGAGCCTTGGAGCCTTTTGCCTCTCTTTAGATAGGTGATTAATTAAACAAT